CGGAGAAAATGCTGTACACGGTTCAGATAGCGATGAGAATGCAGCAATAGAGTCAGCTTTCCATTTTGCAGGTACAGAAGTATTCGCATAATCATTACTGATTAAAACAGAAAAAAAGAGCGTTTCAAGTGAATTGAAACGCTCTTTTTTTTTATTCTAAAAAATTGAAAACAAGCTATTTACCCCAATATTCCTTTCTACTGTAAACCCTTCACCATACTCTACATTTATTTCTCTAGCATAAGCTCTATTTTTGGCAATGACAGAATCAAGAAATGATTTACTCGAGATTGGTGTCTCAGGTTCTTCAGAATTTGGGTCATAAAACTGAGAACTAAACGCCATAATACAGGCTATTTTCTGATCCAAATACCCAGTTATATCTACAACCAAATCTGCTTTAATGTTTCTATCTTGGATGTAATGATACACCACTTTTGGCCTCCAGGCATCTTGTTCATTACCTTGACCATCTGTAGTAGCTATCTTTTGTAACCCTGCATAAAAACAAGCATCACTAATTAGCTTAGAAGCCCTACCATGATCAGGATGCCTATCCGTTATAGCATTGGCAAGTACAATTTCTGGTTTACATTTTCTGATGACAGCAATAATCTTGAGCACATTTTCTTCTGAATATTCAAAGAGTCCATCTCTCATCCCGAGATTATCTCTAAAAATAGCACCCATCAGCTTTCTCGAATTTTCTGCTTCTATCATTCTTAGTTCAGCAGAACCACGCGTACCCAACTCACCTTGGGTCAAATCACAAAGACCTACAGTATGTCCTAATGCTATATGCTTTATCAATGTGCCTGCTGCACCTAGTTCGATATCATCAGGATGCACACCAATCGCCAAAATATCTACTTTCATCTTGTAAATTTATTGATAGGTGGAACATATTGTAAACCAAAAAGTTTAGCAGGATTTATTTGTTTCGTTATAATTAAAATTACCACCTTATTAAAGCACTTCCCCATGTAAATCCACTCCCAAAAGCTGCAAGACAAACCAAGTCGCCTTCTTTGATCCTACCTTGCTCCCATGCTTCACACATGGCCAAAGGTATCGATGCTGCGGTAGTATTGCCATATTTTTGAATATTATTGACCACTTTTTCATCAGGCAATTTTAATGCTCTTTGGACAAACTGACTGATTCTTAGATTCGCTTGATGTGGCACAAATATATCTATGTCTTCTGTCGTATGCCCAGTTTTGTCTAAGGCTTCTTTGATTACTTCAGGAAATTTGACAACTGCTGTTTTGAATACCAATTGCCCAGTCATATTGGGTGCCAACATACCTTCGTCTAACATTTTTTGGGTAACAAATACACCACCTGGTACAGAAGGATCTGGATAACCAAACTTTTCTGTACCTAAATGATATCCACCATGCGAACCAGGATTGATCATAGCTAGTTCTTCTGCATGTGTGCCATCAGCGTGAAGGTGTGTGGTTAATATTCCTTGTCCTTCTTTTTCTGTAGGTTGTAATATAACAGCTCCAGCTCCATCACCAAAAATAACGGTCACTGCCCTACCCTCATCTGAATAATCAAGACCCATCGAGTGCATTTCAGCACCTACCAGCAAGATGTTTTTGTACATTCCTGTCTTTATAAATTGGTCAGCAATGGATAATCCATAAACAAACCCAGAACATTGATTTCTGATATC